GCCGCACTTTGGCACCGATCCAGGTCATCTGGGGGACTCCAGAGCCTGTGGGGGCCTGCTGGCGGTTTCGGGGCTTCTCTTGGGGCAGAAATCCTGGATTCTGACATCGAGTTCCCTATCCTGGCTCTCTCTCGGGGCTCTCTTGGAGCGCTCTTGAGCCGTATTCGGCGCCTGTGGGTCCGTCTTGGAGCGCCTTTGGGCTGCCTTGGGACCGTCTTCGGGGCCTCTCGGCCTGTCTGGGGGCGAGCTTGGGGACCTCTTTGGTCGCCTTGAACGTCGCGAAACGCGAAATGCCCAACTTGCTGAACATGCACGTTGTGCTGAGGGGATGAAGCAATGTTCCCCTCTTCGGCCACTCTTCCGGATCTCGTGGGGGGCCATCTGCGGGCCTGTGCTGGGGGCCTCTGTTATCTGTTAGCCCTCCTGTGACTCTCTTGGGGGCCTGCTGGCGTTCTCGGCGGTCCTCTTTGAAATCGAGGTCCCCATCTTGGCCCTCTCCTGGGGCCTTTTTGAAGCCCTTTTTGGTCATCTTTGGCGCGTCTGGGCCCGTCTTGGGGCGCCCGTGGGGTCCAGCAAATGTTTTCCAGGGGGGACACTTTGACGTGTGCCATCTGTGAGACGATTGGGGCAAACAACTGCCGTAGATATGAGTGTACGGCGTGTGCGGGTGAGGCTTCAAATGCTGAAAGCCAGCCTGATGTAGACTTGAGCCAAGATGGCTACGGAGGCATTCTGGGGTTCTGTTGCGCCGTCTTGGAGACCGGGTGGGCCGTTTCGCAGCAAGCGTCACCGTCTTCGGGGCGTCTTGGAGCCCGCTTGGACTCCTTTAGGGCTAATTTTAGCGTGTCCAGGCTCATTGAGGGAGCCTTCTTGGGGCCTCTTGGGCCACCATGGGCGCCTCTTGGGCCGTCTCGGAGCGTAGGGAAGCGAAGCAGGCGACAATGGGAGAATCCTTGAAAGACCTACTGGAAACCAGTGGATGTTGCCTATCTGGGAGTCTCTCGGAGAACACTTTGGAGCCCTCCTGGGGCGTCTTGGAGGCCTCGTGCGCCATCTCGAATCAATCGCGGAATGGTGGGCGTGCTGGGGGCGTTTTGGGGCCATCTAGGCACCCTTTAGGCCCTTTTGGCGGGTCGAGGTTCGCTTGGGAGGAGGTCCAGAACAGGGACAGCGATTCCACAGCTCCAGCTATTCTCAGCCGAAAGAGCCGCGGCGCATTGGAGACGACCTAATCGGCAGTGTAAGGGTAGGAACAAGTAATGGCTTTTCTCAGCCGACCGAAATATCAGGGGGCCTCTGGAGCTGTGAGGGAGCGCGTTTCACGCTCGCTTGCCTTGGGAACGTTCGGCGGCGCGTTTGAACCAGCCACCCCCGCTCCCGACCATTCAGCGCCGTCGAACAGAAGCAAGGAGACTCCCCCCCCAGTCCCCCTCCCCCCCCGTCCCCCCGGCGCCGGCGCTGGCGTCGGCGTCGTCGTCGTCTTCGTCATCGTCATCGCCGTCGTCGCCGTCGTCGTCGCCGCCGTCGTGGTCGTCGTCGTCGACGTCGTCGCAGTCTTCATCGCCGTCGTCGTCGTCGTCGTCGTCGTCGCCGTCGTCGTCGTCGTCGCCGTCGTCGTCGCCGTCATCGTCGTCGTCGTCGCCGTCGCTGTCGCCGTCGGCCGTGGTCGTCGTCGTCGTCGTCGTCGTCGTCGTGATCGCCGTCGTCGTCGTGGCCGTCGTCGTCGCCGTCGCCGTCGCCGCCGCCGCCGCCGTCGTCGTCGTCGTCGTCGTCGTCGCCGTCGTCGTCGTCCCTCGTTGTCGTCGTCGTCTTCGTCGCCGTCGCCGTCGTCGTCTTCGTCGTCGTCGCCGTTGCAGTCCCCGTCGCCGTCGCCGTCGTCGTCACGCAATGCCAAGCAATGCCAAGCACTGCGCCCATGCAATAAGAGGCAAGCAATGCCAAGCAATGCGAGGCAATGCCAAGCAATGCCAAGCACTGTGCCCATGCAATAGGAAACTTTCCCCTAATTGGGGCCGCACCTGATTCACTTCCTTTACAACGCATCCGGCGCCCTAGAGCCCCTTTCTTATTTTCCCGAGGGCCGCCGCGAAAATACAATTCACTGTTGCGCGAAACAACGATTCGCGTGCACACTAGGAGAGGAGGGGGAGAGGCGGGGCCCCTGTGTTTACTCCACCTGATCGAAACAGGCGCCACAGACAGCCAAGATCTGCTCCATGGGGGGGGGCGCGAAGGCCCGCGCCAATCGGCAAAACAATTCGCTGGCCCAACGGATTAGAGGCGTGCTGCAATCGCCGGTAAGAGCTCAAGAAGGTTTCTGCATCGCGCGCGCGTGGCGGCCCCTGGGGTCTCCGGACGAGAAGCAACCCTGCAAGGTCCGGGTCGGGCTAGAGATGCCCGAACTCCCGGGCGCGGCCTCGGGGGCCCCCCCGAGCGCCCCAATGAGGCCGCCGAAAGGGTGGCACGCCCCACGGCCTCAGGCCAAGAGCGTTTCAAGATGGCCCACGTTGGTCCCAAGACGGCCCGCGAAGCGCCCAAGTGGCTCCAGGAGGGCTCCAAGAGGACTTCGAGTGGCTCTGAAGACGCAAAACTCATTGGTTCCGTATGGGTTGTCAGACGATTCTAGCAGTACCGCCTTTTCGAGCTTCTGGCCGCCCTGGACGACCCAAGAGGCCCCGCGATCGCTCCAAGACGGTCCAAACAGCCTCCAGGAGGGCCTCCACATGGCCCAAGATGGCCCCCAAGAGGGGGCCCAGAGGGGAAACACGAACAGATATTTCGAGCTCTCGTTCCCCAAGAGGCCCCCCCCCTCCCCCCCCGTGCCCCCGGCGCCGGCGCTGGCGTCGGCGTCGTCGTCGTCTTCGTCATCGTCATCGCCGTCGTCGCCGTCGTCGCCGCCGTCGTGGTCGCCGTCGTCGACGTCGTCGTAGTCTTCATCGCCGTCGTCGTCGTCGTCGCCGTCGTCGTCGTCGCCGTCGTCGTCGCCGTCATCGTCGTCGCCGTCGCCGTCGCTGTCGCCGCCGGCCGTGGTCGTCGTCGTCGTCGTCGTCGTCGTCGTGATCGCCGTCGTCGTCGTGGCCGTCGTCGTCGCCGTCGCCGTCGCCGCCGCCGCCGCCGTCGTCGTCGTCGTCGTCGTCGTCGTCGTCGTCGCCGTCGTCGTCGTCCTCGTTGTCGTCGTCGTCTTCGTCGCCGTCGCCGTCGTCGTCTTCGTCGTCGTCGCCGTTGCAGTCCCCGTCGCCGTCGCCGTCGTCGTCACGCAATGCCAAGCAATGCCAAGCACTGCGCCCATGCAATAAGAGGCAAGCAATGCCAAGCAATGCGAGGCAATGCCAAGCAATGCCAAGCACTGTGCCCATGCAATAGGAAACTTTCCCCTAATTGGGGCCGCACCTGATTCACTTCCTTTACAACGCATCCGGCGCCCTAGAGCCCCTTTCTTATTTTCCCGAGGGCCGCCGCGAAAATACAATTCACTGTTGCGCGAAACAACGATTCGCGTGCACACTAGGAGAGGAGGGGGAGAGGCGGGGCCCCTGTGTTTACTCCACCTGATCGAAACAGGCGCCACAGACAGCCAAGATCTGCTCCATGGGGGGGGGCGCGATGGCCCGCGCCAATCGGTAAAACAATTCGCTGGCCCAGCGGATTAGAGGCGTGCTGCAATCGCCGGTAAGAGCTCAAGAAGGTTTCTGCATCGCGCGCGCGTGGCGGCCCCTGGGGTCTCCGGACGAGAAGCAACCCTGCAAGAACAGGTCCGGGTCGGGCCAGAGATGCCCGAACTCCCGGGCGCGGCCTCGGGGGCCCCCCCGAGCGCCCCGATGAGGCCGCCGAAAGGGTGGCACGCCCCACGGCCTCAGGCCAAGAGCGTTCCAAGATGGCCCACGTTGGTCCCAAGACGGCCCGCGAAGCGCCCAAGTGGCTCCAGGAGGGCTCCAAGAGGACTTCGAGTGGCTCTGAAGACGCAAAACTCATTGGTTCCGTATGGGTTGTCGGACGATTCTAGCAGTACCGCCTTTTCGAGCTTCTGGCCGCCCTGGACGACCCTAGAGGCCCCGCGATCGCTCCAAGACGGTCCAAACAGCCTCCAGGAGGGCCTCCACATGGCCCAAGATGGCCCCTAAGAGGGGGCCCAGAGGGGAAACACGAACAAACATTTCGAGCTCTCGTTCCCCAAGAGGCCCCAAAAGGCCCCCAAGAGGCCCCCAAGAGGCCTCAAAAGAAGCTCCCAAGACCCCCAAAAGGCCCCCAGGAAGCCCCAAGAGGCCCGTAAGAAGCCCCCAAGAGGCCTCCCAGAGGCCTCAAAACTTCTTCCCAGAGGCTCCCGGAGAGCCCTCCGAAGAGATCGCAAGAAGCATCCACGAGGACTCTTACCCCCAACTCAGCTACGTCTCGAAGCTCTGCTGGAGCTTTCTTGAGCCATCTTGGCCCCCTCTGGGGCAATCGATCGGCTCTCTTCGACAGGGTGCGAGCCACATCTCCAAAGACCTCCTCGAGGACAGTCCTGCCTGCCCTACCGTTCCCCATGGGTACGAGCACACCACTATGCAGCCACCGTGATGCGAAATGGGCCGGCGGAATGAGCGAAACGATTGAATGAACAAGAAAACGATCCAAAAGATGCGCCTCTTTCACGGAACGGGTGGCCAACGACCGGCCGGCGAGCCGTCCTATCGCGGGCGGGCTCGACCGCGCTGCGCGGAGCCGGAAGCCCTCGGCACAGTAGCCGATGGCGACGAAACTCTATTGATGCGCGGCGTGACCATATGCGAGAGACTACTCAAGAGCGTGTGGCTAACACAAGTGACCAAAGTGACATAACGCGCGGCCTCTTCCGGCCAGAAAAGTAATGGCTCTTCTCAGCCGACCGCAATACTGGGGGGCCTCTGGAGCTGTTCATATTACTAGTCGTCTCGCAAGGAACGGGTGGCCAGCGGCAAGCAGGCGAGCCGTCCTATCGCGGGCGGGCTTGACAGCGTCGCGCGGTGCTGGGAGTTCCCGGCTCAGTAGCCGATTGCGACGGAGCCTTGTTGAAGCTGACCATATGCATATGCCTCCATGGACAGGATCTTCTGGCACCTTTCCTCAGGCGCCGCCGCCTCCGCGTGGTCATCCTCTCCCAGCAGCCCTCCGACAAGAAACCCGACACGCTGAAGGTTCTTGACATAGACGTTCAGATAATGCTGCCCCTTGTCGGTGTGCCCGCTGCCGGCTTTGAGCTCCACAGGCCCGAGCCTCAGCCACCTCGGCTTCTCGTTCTCGGCGCGAGCGCCGCGTGCGTCGAAGCGGAAGCCTCCAGGCTGCGCCTTGTGCGCCCACGTCCCTGTGACGTTGATATCCTGGAAGTATATGTCCGAGCAACGTGCCCCCAATCGACGCGCATCCGCCTTGACAACAAGCAACGCGTCCTCGACGGGCATTCCGCGTGGAACGCGGACCAAGACAGAGATGCCCGGCCTCGCCAAGTCGAACCGCTGACCGAACATGTTCTGCAGGTGCGGGTCGCCCGTGGCGGACGACGCCGTCGGGGATGACGCAGCCGCGGACGTCGGGCTCCACGTCGGGCTCGGCGTCGGCACCATAGTCGGTGATAGCGTGAGCGAGGGCGTCGGGCTGGGCGTCGGCGCCGTAGTCGGTGATGGCGTGGGCAAGGGCGTCGGGCTGGGCGTCGGCGCCGCGGTCGCCGGCTTGTACCAGATCCTGTAGTCCTGTAGTGTGGATGGGCCGTCACCTCAGTGCAAGCATCCAATGCTAGCCAACAAGAGCTGTCGCCCATGGTGACTGCGCCCATGGTCGCGACGCATCGCGGCTCAGCCAGACATGACGCCTGGCACACGCTGTATCCCACCAGGCCCTGGAATTGATTATCGCCAGCGCAGAACCGGCCATATGTAGACACGCTCCATGTGTCGCCAGTTGTCGACATCTGCATCAGCTCGAGGTCAACTGCAGAAGCCAGGCTGGCGATCAGAATGGCATGTGCCATCTGTGAGACTATTGGAACAAACAACTGTCGTAGATATGAGTGTACGGAGTGTGCGGGTGAGGTTTCAAATGCTGAAAGCCAGCCTGATGTAGACTTGAGCCAAGATGGCTATGGAGGCATTCTGGGGTTCTTTTGGGCCGTCTCGGAGGCCGGGTGGGCCGTTGCGAAGCAAGCGTCACCGTCTTCGGGGCGTCTTGGAGCCCGCTTGGACTCCTTTAGGGCTAATCCCACCAGCCCTTTAGGGCGTAGGTGGTCTAGAGCGTTTCCTCTGCCAACCCCCCTTCTTTCCCTTCGGGGAGGGGTTTACCCCTCCCCTTACCCCTCCCCACTGACCTGGACGAGGCGTCTCGCGAGGTGTCAGGGACGCCCAAGATGGCTCAAGACGGCTCCAAGAGCGAAAAAGCGAGAAAGCACAAAACATTGATTTTCCTTAGGTTTTGGAAGGATTTTGGCCTCTTGGGGGGGCCCAAGAGGCGCTTCGAGGCACTCTAGAGGGGCAACCCTAATTGGAGCTCCCCCCTTCTTTGATAGATCTCCTCCAAGATGGCCCCAAGAGCGCCCCGAAGGCTCCCAAGAGCGCCCCAAGAGCGCCCCAAGAGGGCCCCAAGAGACCCCAAGAGGCCCCCAAGAAGCCTCTAAGAGGCTGCCAAGAGACCCCCAAGAGGCCCCAAGAGAGTTCAAGATGGCCCAAGACGGCTCCAAGAGCGAAAAGGCGAGAAAGCAAAAAACATTGATTTTCCTTAGGTTTTGGAAGGATTTTGGCCTCTTGGGGGGCCCAAGAGGCGACTCGAGGCACTCTAGAGGGGCAACGCTAATTGGGGACCCCCTCTTCTTTGATCGATCTCCTCCAAGATGGCCCCAAGAGCGCCCCGAAGGCTCCCAAGAGCGCCCCAAGAGCGCCCCAAGAGCGCCCCAAGAGGCCCCAAGAGGCGCCCAAGAGGCCTCCAAAAGGCTCCCAAGAGACCTCCAAGAGGCCCAAGAGGCTCCCAAGACGGCCCAAGACGGCTCCAAGAGCGAAAAGGCGAGAAAACACAAAACATTGATTTTACCTAGGTTTTGGAAAGATTTTGGCCTCAAGAAGGGCCCAAGAAGCGATTCGAGGCACTCTAGAGGGGCAGCGCTAATTGAGGACCCCCCCTTCTTTGATAGATCTCCTCCAAGATGGCCCCAAGAGCGCCTCGAAAGCTCCCAAGAGCGCCCCAAGAGCGCCCCAAGAGAGCCCCAAGAGGCCCCAAGAGGCCCCCAAGAGGCCTCCAAGAGGCCCCCAAGAGACCCCCAAGAGGCCACAAGAGGCTCCCCGAGATACGCAAGAGGCCCCCGGGACCGCCAAGAGGCCCCAAAGACGGCCCAAGAGGCCCCCAAGCTCGCCATTGTCCTCCTCCTCCTCCTCTTTTTCTTCCTCCTCCCTCCTCCCCCTCCCCCTCCTCCTCCTCCTCCTCCTCCTCCTCCTTTTCCTTTTCCTCCTTCTCGTCCTCCTCGTCCTCGCAGTCCTCCATCTCCTCCTCCTTATCTTCCTCCTCCTCCTCCTCCTCCTGCTCCTCCTCCTGCTCCTCCTCTTCCTCCTCCTACTCCGACGACGACGGCTCCTCCTACATCCTCCCCCTCTTGGGGTATATGGCGGCTCACCCCGCCCTCTGTTCTTCTGCATGCTCCCCCGCTTCCCTCATAACCTCCACTCCCCTGGGACTCATTTCTGGACGGGCTGGTGGGGATACGCGAAGCGTCTAGAATTTTGGTGTGTCTAGGCTCATTTAGGGAGCCGTCTTGGGGCCTCTTGGGCCATCATGGACGCCTCTTGAGCGGTCTTGGCGCCCTCTTTGGGTGCGCTGCGGCCCTGTTGGACGCCTCTTGGGCCGTCTCGGAGCGTAGGGAAGCGGAGCAAGCAACAACGGGAGAATCCTCGAAAGACCTACTGGAAATCAGTGAATGTTGTCTATTTGGGACTCTCTCGGAGAGCACGTCGGAGCCCTCTTGGGCCGTCTTGGAGGCCTCGTGGGCTGTCTTGAAGCAGTGGTGGGCGTGCTGGGGACGTTTTGGGGCCCTCTGAGCACCCTTAGGCCCTTTTTGGCGGGTCGAGGTTCGTTTGGGAGGAGGTCCGGAGCAGGGTACCCTCGGAGCCATCCAAGACCCCCTGGACCCCCCTATGCCGCACTTTGGCACCGATCCAGGTCATCTAGGGGACTCCAGAGCCTGTGGGGGCCTGCCGGAGGTCTCGGGGCTTCTCTTGGGGCAGAAATCCTGGATTCTGACATCGAGTTCCCTTTCTTGGCTCTCTCTCGGGGCTCTATTGGAGCGCTCTTGAGCCGTCTTCGGCGCCTGTGGGTCCGTCTTGGAGCGCCTTTGGGCTGCCTTGGGACCGTCTTCGGGGCCTCTCGGCCTGTCTGGGGGCGAGCTTGGGGGCCTCTTGGGTCGTCTTGAACGTCGCGAAACGCGAAAAGCCCAATTTGCTGAACATGCACGTTGTCCCGAGGGGATGAAGCAATGTTCCCCTCTTCGGGCACTCTTCCAGATCTCGTGGGGGGCCATCTGGGGGCCTGTGCTGGGGGCCTCTGTTATCTGTTAGCCCTCCTGGGGCTCTCTTGGGGGCCTGCTGGCGTTCTCGGCGGTCCTCTTTGAAATCGAGGTCCCCATATTGGCCCTCTCCTGGGGCCTTTTTGAAGCCCTCTTTGGCCATCTTTGGCGCGTCTGGGCCCGTCTTGGGGCGCCCGTGGGGTCCAGCAAATGTTTTCCAGGGGGGACACTTTGACGTGTGCCATCTGTGAGACGATTGGGGCAAACAACTGCCGTAGATATGAGTGTACGGAGTGTGCGGGTGAGGTTTCAAATGCTGAAAGCCAGCCTGATGTAGACTTGAGCCAAGATGGCTACGGAGGCATTCTGGGGTTCTGTTGCGCCGTCTTGGAGACCGGGTGGGCCGTTTCGCAGCAAGCGTCACCGTCTTCGGGGCGTCTTGGAGCCCGCTTGGACTCCTTTAGGGCTAATTTTGGTGTGTCTAGGCTCATTCAGGGAGCCGTCTTGGGGCCTCTTGGGCCACCATTGGCGCCTCTTGAGCGGTCTTGGCGCCCTCTTTTGGGGGTGCGCTGCGGCCCTGTTGGACGCCTCTTGGGCCGTCTCGGAGCGTAGGGAAGCGAAGCAGGCGACAACGGGAGAATCCTCGAAAGACCTACTGGAAACCAATGAACGTTGCCTATTTGGGAGTCTCTCGGAGAACACTTTGGAGCCCTCCAGGGGCGTCTTGGAGGCCTCGTGCGCCGTCTCGAAGCAATCGCGCAATGGTGGGCGTGCTGGGGGCGTTTTGGGGCCATCTAGGCACCCTTTAGGCCCTTTTGGCGGGTCGAGGCTCGCTTGGGAGGAGGGCCAGAACAGGGACAGCGATTCCACAGCTCCAGCTCTTCTCAGCCGAAAGAGCCGCGGCGCATTGGAGACGACCTAATCGGCAGGGTAAGGGTAGGAACAAATAATGGCTTTTCTCAGCCGACCGCAATATCAGGGGGCCTCTGGAGCTGTGAGGGAGCGCGTTTCACGCTCGCTTGCCTTGGGAACGTTCGGCGGCGCGTTTGAACCAGCCACCCCCGCTCCCGACCATTCGGCGCCGTCGAACAGAAACAAGCAGACTCCCCCCCCCCGTCCCCCTCCCCCCCTTCCCCCTGGCGCCCGCGCCGGCGTCGGGGTCGTCGTCGTCGTCGTCTTCGTCGTCGTCATCGCCGTCATCGTCGTTGCCGTCGTCGTCGCCGCCGTTGTCGTGGTCGTCGTCGTCGACGTCGTCGCAATCTTCATCGCCGTCGTCGTCGTCGCCGTCGTCGTCGTCGCCGTCGTCGCCGTCGTCGTCGTCGTCGTCGCCGTCGCTGTCGCCGTCGGCCGTGGTCGTCGTCGTCGTCGCGATCGCCGTCGTCGTCGTCGTCGTGGCCGTCGTCGTCGCCGTCGCCGTTGCCGCCGCCGCCGCCGTCGTCGTCCTCGTTGTTGTCGTCGTCGTCGTCATCGTTGTCGTCGTCGTCGTCTTCGTCGCCGTCGCCGTCGTCGTCGTCGTCGCCGTTGCAGTCGCTGTCGCCGTTGCAGTCGCCGTCGCCGTCGCCGTCGTCGCCACGCAATGCCAAGCAATGCCAGGCACTGCGCCCATGCAATAGGAGGCAAGCAATGCCAAGCAATGCGAGGCAATGCCAAGCAATGCCAAGCACTGTGCCCATGCAATAGGAAACTTTCCCCTAATTGGGGTCGCACCTGATTCACTTCTTTCACAACGCATCCGGCGCCCTAGAGCCCCTTTCTTATTTTCCCGAGGGCCGCCGCGAAAATACAATGCACAGTTGCGCGAAACAGCGATTCGCGTGTACACTAGGAGAGGAGGGGGAGAGGCGGGGCCCCTGTGTTTACTCCACCTGATTGAAACAGGCGCCACAGACAGCCAAGATCTACTCCATAGGGGGGTGCGCGAGGGCCCGCACCAATCGGCAAAACAATTCGCTGGCCACACGGATTAGAGGCGTGCTGCAATCTCCGGTAAGAGTTCAAGAATGTTTCTACATCGCGCGCGCGTGGCGGCGCCTGGGGTCCCCAGACGCAAAGTACCCCTGCAAGGTCCTGGCAGGGTCGGGCCAC